TCTCAAAAAAAAAAAAAAAGAGCTGCTCTTAACCTGGCTCACTCTTTGTTATGGCTTCCCTCTCTCCCCAGGCCCAGCACAGCCCTCAGCACCTCAACAAGTTGTGCTTAGGTTCGGTGCCTATAGCTAAAGCAGCTAAGGCACCAGCCACATACTCCAGAGCTGAGGGGTTCGAATCCAGCCTGGGCCTGCCAAACAACAATGACAACTCCAATCAAAAAATAGCCGGTCGTTGTGGCGGCTGCCTGTCATTGGGAGACTGAGTCAAGAGAATCTGAGCCCAAGAGTTTGAGGTTGCTGTGAGCTGTGATGCCACAGCACTCTACCAAGGGCGACATAGTAAGACTATCTCAAAAAACAAACAAAAAAACCTAGCAGATGTGCTAAATCCAACTCTCCACGTACATGTCCTTGGAATCATCCTGGATTAGCTTCCTATGGCTGCTGTAACAAATTAGTGCAAATTAGTGGCTTAAAATCTTAGAAATTAATTCCCTTGCCATTCTGGAGGCCAGGAGTTAGGAATCCATTTCATTGCACCAAACTCAGCATGTCAGCCAGCTCTGCTCCTTCTGGGGGTCACAGGGGCATAACTTCCTCTTTGTCTTGTCTCTTATAGCTTCCGCTGGCTGCCAGCACTTCTTGCCTTGACTGCGTCACCCTGTCACTCTCTGCCTCCTTGTCATATCACCCTCTCTTCTGTGTATGACATACCTCCCTCTGCATCTTTCATTTAAGGACACTTGTGACGGCATTAGAGTCTCCTCAGAAAACCCGGGACAATCTCTGCATCTTGAGATCCTCAACTGAATCACAATGGCAAAGACTCTTTTTCCATATAAGGTAACATTTACAGGTTCCAGGGATTAGGACCTGATATCTTCAGGGTCCTACACTCCATTCAGCCTACTATACTGCATTTCCACAAGCTTCCTTAGATTCATGGAAGAAGCACTGGGTTGGCTCGGCGCCTGTAGCTCAGTGAGTAGGGTTCGGCCACACACGCTAAGGCTGGCAGGTTCAAGCCTGGGCTGGGCCAGCTAAAACAACAATGACAACTGCAACCAAAAAAAAAAAAAAAAAAAAGCCTGGCATTGTGGCAGGCGCCTATAGTCTCAGCTACTACTCGGGAGGCTGAGGCGAGAGAATCACTTAAGCCCAAGAGTTGGAGGTTGCTGTGAGCTATAATGCCATAGCACTCTACTGAGACATAGTGAGACTCTGTCTCAAAAAAAAAAAAAAAAAAAGATGCACTCGGTTATGGAGATGGCCCTCCATGAAGGAGCTACTCCCAGTCACTGGCCATGCTGGCTGTTAGGAAGACACAATGGGAAGACTGTGGGATTTGGCACCTGCAAACCTTGGCTGGAATTCTCCCTCTGCCTGTTGTAGCTGTGCCGAGACTTGGGGCAAAGCACTGGCCCTCTCCGCATCTGTGTGTTCTTACCTATAAAATGAGGAAGGTC